AACCTAATCACTCATGTTAGTATTCCAAATAGCTTTGTATTCGTGTTATAATAATGGGAACAAAGTTTGATTGCTCTGCAGGCTCTTCCTCATTATTTTTAATTTCAGACATTAATAATTATAAATAAATGAATAGTCTTCCAAGATCAGACAAGATCAGGTGCATTCAGGGTGGTTTGGCCATAGACATAAATGAATAATCTTAATGTATTTGAGAGTATACCTCATCAATACAATTAAATTCCACAAAATTTTGTTAGGTCTAACAAGAAGCCATGCTCTTATAATGCACTAATCCACAAATTTCTCAGCAATCACTGGCTTTTCCCTACTCTGGAATTTACTTCCTGTTCATCTTTCACCCTTAAATATGGATCCTTCCTTGCTTCTAGGCCTTTCGGCTAAGATCAAGTGTGGATGCTTGAGGTCAATAGTCTAAAGCTACTGTTAACAACTAGAGTTTGTTATTCTAATTGCTGGGAGACAACCACAGCTTATCTCTTCTATAATGTAATATAGCACAGAGTTTAATACTAATAAGGATCATGTTTCAGAGGTAGCAAATATTGTACAAATTGTCAATTCAAAGAACATTTTAATATAAAAGTTTGACAGAAATGTCAAAACCAAAAACTACTCCACTTTACTTGAAAAAGCAACTAAAGGGCCGGGGATTTAACTCAGTGGTTTGCCTGCTTCGCAAGCACAAGGTCCCAAGATCAATACCCGGTACAAAAAAAGGAAAAAAGAAAAAGCAATTAAAAAAGAAATTCTTAGATTGTATTTCTATATTGTGCTTTGGCTTAGTCTGACAACTAAGAATTTTAAAACTTCTTACATGCTATGTCATGTTAAATTCACAGTCCTAATTAATAAATTTTATTTAAGGGGACAATCTAAATTTAGATAGTTTTCTTCAGTTTTGCTTAGGGTACAGTGGAATGAAAATGTTACTACTGAAAAAAATAGCAAAGAGCTTGATATTCTCTGAGTTCAATGGTCATGAAAAAAGAAAAACAAATTTTCTTTAGTTTTATATAACTTTTCTTTTTTCATGGCAACATAAAAAATTAGTTATGTTTCTCCTTAGGATAATTTTTAAATATCTAAGGTGTTCCAAAAAAGTCTTACTTAAGTAAGAGTAATCCTGGAAGTGAAAGAATAATCATAAAAAATGTGAACATAAAAGACTTTGCTATAAAAAAAAAATCTAAGATCTCTCTTCATCTTTTCCTAACAAAGCATTCTGCCACTATCACCATATGGCTAAGGTATAATTAAAATGTTTGATGTTTAATAGAAAATATTTCAACTATCTGGAAAATTTACTTATTTATAACCAATAATTCCTTGACACTGCTAAATACAGGTGGACACATCATATTTCCATACTTTTTTAATCATTTGTAATTGCCACTCAGGAGCTCAACAAGATAATATAAATGTCATATCCTACTCTGAAACCTATATTATAACCAGAGAATCTTAACATGTTGCTATAACATACCATTTTAATCTTTTCTACCCAGTGCAAAAATTCTATGATCTATCTGAGCCATTCCATCTCCTTGTTTTCAGTGAAAAAGCTTTATTTCAAACTTCAAACAGTTAAAGATAACTGTTTACCTTTAGGTGACATGTTATTATCATTTTAAACACAATTTGTAAAAATACCAGAATACTTTTAGAAGGAATATACATTTTCATTCAGTGTTTTGTCTTATTTTGAGGTAGTTTTTCTTTGGCTAATAAATTATTACCATTACAGACCAAAAACAGCAGCCACATGTTTTTGTCCACACAAAGCAGCTAGGGCCGGGGATGTAGCTCAATGGCGGCATGCCTGCCAGGCAAGCCTGAGTTCCTGAGTTCTATCCCCAGTACTGGACAAAAAAAAAAAAGAAAAACTAAAATTCAACAACCACATAAAGCAGCTAGGTGTGGTGGCACACACCTGCAATCCTAAATACTCAGGAGATGCTGGCAGGAGTATCTCTTTTGAGCCCAACCTGGGCAACTTACAAGACCTTGTCCTAAAATTTGAAAAAGTGTTGGGGATGTAGCTCAGTGTTAGATCCCCTGAGCAAAGCCTTGGATTCAATCCCAGTAATGTAAATACAAAACAAAATAAAAAGCAGGATTTAAAGCAAGCTTTTAAAAAAATCAGTATATTTTTGAATGGGGAGAGGAGGAAATCATTTAGTACATTATTACTGTTGTTATAATAATACATTATAATAATGTAAAATACATTAACATACTTTGAGGTAAAGTGAAAATGGAGTTAAACTGGGTTGGATCCATATGGCCATTGTTGATTACTTATCTTCTCTGTTCCTCACCTTCCTTTCAATTAAATTGAAAGAAATCATCATGTCCAAATAGAAAGGATTGTTGTGTACAGCATTAATACATGTTGTATATTTAGAACAGGGTTTGGCATAAAGTGTTTTATTTGTTAGCTATTACAATTTCTTAAGATACATTTGATTTAAATTCAGTTATTATGGTAATTAAGCAAGAAATAAAAATATGAAGCTATTTTAACCACCTTGATTCATATTTTTCCACCTTGCAATAATAACCTCTTTTATATTGTACTTCAGCAACGATACAATGTCAAACTATTCAGCCAATCAAAATCATTTCTAGAAAAATATTTAATGACATTAAAAATGCATAAAACATATTAATGGAAGGTTAAAAACCAATACTCCAAAATTACAAAGTATATATGCTCTCAATTTTGTTTCTTAAAAATATAAAAATACGAAATTGGAGGATGGGACAGAAAGGCTTGATCTCAACAGATAATATAGTATCAACAGAGGATGTACTTTGGTAATGATATTACAATTAACTTATTTTCTATATGATCTAGTCATTTATAACAATCATGAATTAAATTTATCAAAAAATAATATCTTAAAAATATACCTTACATGGCCTGCCCAAACCTGTCTGGGTTGTTTTTAAAAGTTTATCAACTGGGGGCTGGGGATTTAGCTCAGTGGTTCAGCCACCTACCTCCCAAGCACAAGGTCCCAAGTCTGACCCCCATACCAAAAAAAAAAAATAAAAAAAACAACCCAAAATAAAATCTTAGGGCTGGGGATTTAGCTCATTGGTTCTGCCACCTGCCTCGTAAGCCCAAGGACCAGAGTTAGATCCCCAGTACCACCCCCTAAAAGCCAACAAAGCATCACATATAAGCACATCCTAATTCTGTTTCCTGTTTTGATTGCTAGTTCAGCCCCATCCTATATATTTCACTGTCGTGGGATTTCTTCACTAAACATATAAACACTGAAAATCACACAGTGCTCCATGTTTTCACTTCACACTTATGACAAAACCTAAACAGTCTTGTGTTATAAAACAAGCAGAAAGTATGTTTTGAGAGCAATGAAAAGATTAAGTGTTATTCTCTCAAAATTCCTTTGCTCCAAAAAGTAAAATGAAAATAAACTATTTTCTAGCTTGTTTGCAGATACAAATATTTAGAAATATTCACTAGTAAAACCTTAAGTCTTCCGCCCTGGCTTTCAGGCTCCTCATTTTTAAGTCAGTGTTCCCTTTTTCACAATGGATAAAGACTTCAATGTACTCTATGATATCTGAAATTATATCTACAATTATTCCACTTCACTTGAGGAAAAGAAAAAACAAGGCCTAAAAATATTCTTTAGTCATCCAACATCTTCAGGTGAATTTTCTAGAATTCTCAAAAATTAGTGATTTATCAACTACAGATTAATGAATACCTTAAGCTATAATAAAAATATAGCTCATTTATTTTTATGAACTAAAAAAGCCATCCTATTATTTTAAATCTCTAAACTTCTTTTATAATACTAATTTTGGAATTATTAGTTACAGAAATTGATTTCTTAAAAAATAAAAATTTTTCTTTCTAAACAATCTGAGGAAGCATTACGATGATGTAAGAACTCCTTACTGGTATGTGTGTCACTTAATGGTATCTATAACCATCCAGAATGTGCCAAATATTTCAAGTACAAAAAAATCTTATATGCTGTCAGAATCTGTCATAAATTTCAGATTAAATCAGTTGAATTTCATATATTTATGATATATGATCTACAACTCAGAAAATATAAAACTGTTATATAATCCATTACATAATGCCCTACCTACTTCACCATTCCATCTTTCTTCTACATCATCACAATAAACAAAACCCAAATATCACATTTTTGCAGAACTGGGGGATTGAACCCAAGGCCTTTCCACTGAGCTACATCCCCACCCCTTAAAATGTTTTTTAAAAATAAAAATTATAAGACAGGGCTTCCCTTTGTCAGCTTTCTCATCACTGGACACAATATCCCATACCCCCAACTTGAAGGAGAGGTTTGGCTTACAATTTTAAAGGGATTCACAGTCTATGGTCATCTGGCTCCAAGGCAGAAATATGGCAGAAAGGCATGGTGGAGCAAAACTGCTTAGTTCAGGAAGGCCTGGAAGCAGAGCAAGGGAACAGGGCCAGAGAAAGGAGCAAAGGACAGATAAAGACCCCAAGGTCACGCCTCCATGACCCACCCAGACACACCTAGAAGTGTGCTGCACCAATCCCTCCAGCAGAACCCAGAGCCAATCAAGTTGACACTCCACCCTAACAGCCACATTTGCTCAATCACTAAACTGCCTACATAGGGCTTGAATTTTGTAATCCTACTGCCAGGACCTCCCAGAGGGCTGAGATTGCAAATATCACTTTTAACACTAAGAAGCACAAGAAATCTGAAACGGGTACGGTGGCATACACCTGCCACCTAACTACTCTGTAGGCTGAGGCAGGAGATTCTCAAGTTCAAGTCCAACCTTGGCAATTTAGTGAAACCCTGCCTCCAAATAAAAAAAAATTTAAGGGCTGTGAATGTACCTTAGGGGTAGAGCTGTAGTGCAGCATGTGCAGAGCCCTGGGTTCAATCACTGATACTAAAAAAAGTTATAGGAAACTTGAGAACAGACTTTAAAAAAATATGAAACACTTCATGAATTTACATGTCATTCTTGCACAACGCCCATGCCAATCTTTTCTGTTTCTTTCCAATTTGGGTATACTACTGCTGAAGCAACCACTGGACTTAGTCAAAAAAAGTAATTCAAACATACTGCCCTTTATAAATTTTGGACATATTAAAATAAATCAGCAAAAACTAAGATATTAGTACATGTAAAACTCTGAAGCAAAAGGGAGATTTAAAACTTTATTAATTCATCAGTGTAGAATAAGCTAATTTTTGAAAGACTGCCTGTGATGTGTTCTTTTACCCCTACCCCCTCCTCACTTCATAACATAACTTATAACAAGCCATCCATTTTTGTAGTATACTCTTCAAAAAGAATTATAATCTTGTCCCATCTTTCTAAGGCCTAGGTCTACTTTACACAGCAGGAAGAATTAAGCTACCAACTTTTACATAGCCTAGCTAATCATGAAAGTGTGTCCAGGCTTCAAATAATTTGTTTTAATTTTTTTCTTGGTACAGTAATATAAAATTAAAATGGGAAAGATATTTAATACTAAGCTTTAGAAAGAAACTATTATCCTTGCTGGGTGTCTTGATGCAAAGACTATGATGTAATAAAACAAAAAGATGAATAAAAATGATGACTGGCTTTAGAGAAACAAAATTAAGAAGTAAAATTAATGAATTTTATGGTTCATAACTTTAATTATACAATGGGCAAGGGGGATTAATCAAACTTATTGGAAATCTATATACAAAGTGGATAGATGAATTTTTTTTCTCATTGAGCTTATTGGTACATTTTAGGTATATAATACAGTTACATTCATCATTGGGATCTTGTACCTTTACATGACAGGTATTGGTTCTCTTTTTTTTTTTTTTTCCCATGCCCCTGTAGATAGATGAATTTAAATCAGTAAGATATTTTCTTGCAGGTCCTTATAAGATGTTTGCATCTGCATCTCTCGAATGACCAGTGATGTGGAACATTTTTTCATATATTTTCTTGCTGCTTTTACTTCTTTGTATGAGAAATGTCTGTTCATTTCGGATGCCCATTTTTGGATTGGGTCTTTATATTTGGGGGGACTGATTGTTTTGAGTTCTTTATATATCCTTGATAATAGTCCTTTGTCTGAGGTACAGCTGGTAAAAATTTTTTCCCACATTGTAGATTGTCTCTTAGTTCTGCTAATGGTTTCTTTTGAAGTACAGAAGCTTTTTAGTAAGATGAGATCCCAGTTGTTGATTCTTTCTGCTAGTTCCCGTGCTACTGAGGATTTGTTCATAAAGTCTTTTCCTATACCAATGTCTTCCAGAGTTCTGCCTAACTTACCTTCCAGCAAGTTTAATGTTTCTGTTTTAATATTTAGATCTTTAATCCATTTGGATTTTAATTTAGTGCATGGCGAAAGATAAGGGTCTAATTT